GAGATTTCGATCTTGTAGGGAGCTATTCAGACGGACGGCCAAGAAGGAAACAGCTTTTAGGGAGCTTGGATTGTGCCCTGTAAGAACATAAAAAAAAAAAAAAAAGTGTACAATGGGAGGGGATGTAAAAAGCCTACCTTTTGTTGAAGAGGTTCCTGCTGCATATGGGGTTGGCAGGGAGAAACCAGCCCTCTCCCCCCACCATCCCCTCCAACTCTGGCCCAGTGATTCCCAGATGTCCTTTGTATCCGCCACAGCGACAGCAGCTGGGGATCTGCCCACATCTGGGCGAGATGATCCCCAGTCTGCACGAGGTTCCTAAGAGTACAAGTGCACTCCTAGGGTCTGTGGGGTAGCCAAGCGGATCTTTGCCCCGCAGGCGGAACAGCATTTTTTGATGCTAGAAGCCGAACAACATGGCTGCGTGCCAGCGTGGCCTGAACGTTGGAGACCATCGAGGACCAGGGCTGGGTTACAAGGCTGCGTCTACAACGCACCACTTCATTTACACTCTTGCGTGGGCACCCTGATGTACTAGATGTACATGCATATTCTTAGAGTAGACCGTTGGTTCAGTTAGGGTCTGACCTCTGTAATTAAGAACTTGCTTTGAGTCGCATGGATTCTGCGAGCTACAGATAGATAAGTGGTAAAGACTTCAATAACTAAACCTATTTTCTCAGCCTTTTTTCTCACAAGGACTAACACCATTACATTTTCCGTCTTGTTTCTTAGAGCATCTTCAAGAAAGCAATGGATGTTTGGTTTCAGAGACCAAAGGCCATGGTAACTTGCAGGAAGCGGTATGGAGACAGCAGAGTCCTGGAAAAGACAGTGATTATGACCGTTCAAGAGAGCATGTTCCTTCTGGAAGGTTTCCAGACCCGGAATCTCTGGCCGCATCTGAGACTGGTAACTCTCGGGGTTACTCTAAAGTCTCAAGAAACGAAAGCCCTGAGTCTCCTGGAGGAGGATGGGGATTCCAGAAAGGAAGAGAGACTCTTGCTAAAGTAGCTTCCTGTTTGGCAGAAAAGTTGTATTCTAGCAACCTGGTCATTGACAGAGCCAAGGAGGTGAGCCTCACACAGCTGAGCAATCAGGACCGCGTGGACAACGAGGACTGGGAAATGGTGTCCAGGCACTCGTCTTGGGGAGATGTTAGTTTGAGTGGCAGTCTTGAGGCTCCAGGGTTAAGTCCAAACCAGGGAATGGACTGTGGCCAGATAGGAGGTCAGGAAGTGGACATCAGACGACAAAAGGCAGGAGCGGCATCTTCAGGGTCTCCGCGAGTCCGCATCCACTTCCAGGTCCACTATGTGCCGAGCGCTGGTTCCCAGCTCGTGGCGATAACCGGAGACCACGAGAGTCTTGGGAGGTGGAAGTCCTACATCGCACTCCAGCGTAGAAAGGATGGGTTCTGGTTCCGCTCCGTGCCCCTGCCCGCTGACACAGTGGTGGCCTGGAAGTTCGTAGTGGTAGACAATGGGGAGATCACCCGCTGGGAAGAATGCAGCAATAGGTCCCTTGACACTGGCCGTGAGGATAAAGTAGTTCAGAAGTGGTGGGGGATTCCCTGAGTCCACTTTTCAAAGTACCAGAGAGGCCGCTGCAGAATCTGGCAAAGGCTAGGTCTGCGGAGCACACTGAGTGATTTTCGATAAAGGAAGTAGAACTCCAAGTTTAGCCATCGGAGTTGTTTCAGGTTTGCCAGTGGCTTTTGTCTAATGTGCAGAACTATACATATGTACGTGATGGCTTCAGCGCGCATGGCTGCTTTCCCCATGGACTTGATGCGTGGGGTTTTGCTGGTCCATCGTTCTTCAGGGCTTTGTCCTCCTGGGCGTGACCTGGCCAAGCCTCTAGTGTGGACAGGCCGGGACTCACACAAAGCCACCCGGCTGCAGAGGGCTCAGGCTCGAGCGTCTGGCTGATCCTTAAGCCCAGGGAGGGAAGCAAGCATCATTCGAAAAGAGCAGCTTTCCTGTTGGTCCAGCTGGAGAAACTCTCCTTACTACACGCACACTTCATATTTAAGAATAATTAATGCCATATGCAATTGTGATCAGAAATATCTGGTCACAAGATATGATTAGCAAGGATGTGAAGACTTTCTTTTTTCTTTTCTTTTTTTTTTTTTGCTTGATTTTACCTGCTAGCTATGGATTGAAGGTAGCGAGGAAGTCTTTGTCTTGATGGCAAACTGATGTAGAAAAAGGGCCTGGCCAGAGTCGGTCATTGGGAGGAACCAGGGAGGAGAGGGAACAGGAATGGGATTGGGGTGTAGATTGAGCGAAGTGTCCCAATGTGTCCCGAGTGATGGTCCTAGAGGCCTGGGAGGTCCAGGTACAGCCTGACAATGGGGAGTGGGGATGGGGGGGGCACAGCTGTTATTTACCTCTAGGGCCTTTGTAGGACCATCTCTCCCCTTGCCCCTCGTCTCTCACCAGTCTAGACGGATAGGACTGGTCCACAGCAATCATTTCTCCTGCCCTTTCCTTTCATACCAGTAGCTATCTTGGATAACAAAATTATAATAGGACAGTGATATAGAAGTACATCTTTGTTCTGAGAAGAAATAAAACATTTAAACTTTATTATAACAACAAATAAAATCTGAGTTTTAATATCTTTATTAAGTGTCTGAATTACTTGTCTAAACCTTAGTACCATAATAGCTTAGATGTAAAATATCATACCTATACTTTCCTCCACTAATAACACATATGTAGAAAAAAAACAAACATCAAGAGGCAAGAGGGGTTCACTTTTCTCCTCTCTTTGGAGAAAACATTTTAGAATTAAAAAAAAAAACAACTTTACCTTTGTTTGTAAGGACATTCTGTATACCCGTACTTGAATTTTTATATGTTAGAACAACTTGTAATAAGTATAACATCTTTTGGCCAAACAGAGTTTAATCTTGGTTATAGGTGGTCTTTGCTGAAAAGAGCATAAACCCCATAGAAAATATGTTATGAAGTGCTTAAAAGAACATAATTCTTGGCTCATAGCACTTGTACGTTAAATTCACATATATGTTTTATATTCTTCAGGATGAATTTCATATTTTACTGGTAAGATCTTCATAGGGCATTTACCCTTACTTCACCGAATGCGCGACATTTCTATTAGGTAAAATTGAAGGTAAAACAATTTACAATAAAAATATCTTGAGAGTTCTTTGACCAGCAATTTTGTTACCTGATGAAATAAAAATTAATCTTTCAGTAAAACCAACTGAAGTAAAAGATACAGTAAAACCAATTGAGGTAAGATACAGTATTAAACTGCGCATTTTAAAAAATCGTTGTAAAACTGGACGTGCTTAGAGCATCCACGCTGCCGTTTAGAAGAGAAACAGGAGGGTTTGGGTGATGATCTGTGCTGGTGAGGACTGAGGCCTTCTGCTGTCACAGGCAGATGCCAGGCGTGTAAAGAAGGCTGCAGCAGGGGCGCCTGGGGGGCTCAGTGGGTTAAGCCTCTGCCTTCAGCCCAGGTCATGGTCTCAGGGTCCTGGGATCGAGCCCCGCATAGGGGCTCTCTGTTCAGCAGGGAGCCTGCTTCCGCCTCTCTCCCTGCCTGCCTCTCTGCCTACTTGTGATCTCTATCAAAGAAATAAATAAAATCTTAAAAAAAAAAAAAAAAAGGCTGCAGCAGAAGCCAGTTTACTGCTAATGAGCAGTGGGTGTTTCTGGTAGAAGGACGGCTCCCCTTGGCACCCAGGCTGCTTCTGTGCTGAGGCTCTGCATCCCCTAGGACCTCTCTGTCCACCGGACCCAGCTCATGGAAGGGGATGTGAAGTGAGGAAAGACAAAGGCTTAGTAAAGCTTCTGGCCAGAGTGTGCCACATACTGCTCTGATCAGTGAGAACCGTCAGGAGACGTGAGAGCAGAGGTGGGACCCGAGAGCCCCTGCAGGGCAGCCGGGCGACCGGACATCAGTGCGGTGCCCGGGAGTGTGGACTGTTCTGGACGGCCGTCCTTCCGCCACACTGTCCTGCGGTCTGGGCAGGAAGACAGAGAGACTGATTACAGGGGTGCGGCTGAAAGCTCCCCCAAGGGGACAGGGCGGGTGGCGGATCAAGCCCTGGAGGAGACTGCAGAGCTTCCAGGCGGGCAAACACCTCTAGCTCCCGGGAGGGCGACGTGCCCGAGAGGGTGTGAAGGCTTCGCGGCCGGGACTGTCTCACTTTGCCCTGTGCTTCTCTCCCAGTTCGCAGCTCCGGGGCTGCTTCCGTGCAAATACATCGGTAACACTCAGTAAAACACGTTGCTGAGTGCTGTGATCTGTTCTAGCAACTCAGTGAAATCGAGGCACAGGTGCGGGGAACCTCGATTCGGAGCAGGTTGTTGTAAGCCCGGGTGGTCCAGCCGCGCGCCTGCATCTCAAGTGGGGGACAGTCTTGGGCGCTGAACCCTGGAGCCCGGAGAATTTGGCACTGACTGCGGGTCACCGGTGCTAGGATCGAGCTGACTCCTAGGCCGGCTGGCTGGTGTCCGCAGAGAACAGGCGAGTGGGGTTAGAAGACACTCGCACAAATCCCCCAATCTGAGAAAATCTAATCCAGGCCAGCTTCTAACTAGAAGTTACCCACTGGCTGAAGAACACGTTTCGCCCCTTTCTTTCTTTGTAGTTACTAATATGCGAGAGAGAAACCTTTCCACAAGTTCTGTAGGGGCCCCGACGTTCTGTTACCCATGACATTCATCGCTAAAGACGGAACAGTGAGTTCAGGGTCACGATAGGAACCCCGTCAGTGCGCTGGAGTTTGTCCTTTTGTTCTGGCCCTTATACCGCATATTTTACTTGCATGTGCAGGTTTTTTTGGTTTGTTTGTTTTTTTAAAGCTGAAAACAGTAAGTATTGCTTACGCACCAGTGAAGAAAATGAAAACATAATTACTCCGGCACACTGGTCCGAGCACTGGTTCATACCTTACAAGATGCACGTCTCTTTCACGTCTGGCCAGAACAGTGTAAAGTTTAACTATGGGAGCATTCAAGAATAGTTTATTTCAAAATAGAGTTTACAGGACAGGGTATCTTTTATTAAATTTTCACATAAAAAGAAAAAAGTACACAGGGCACTAATTATAAGCAACACCACAATTAATTGGGCCTCATTCTTCTGTAAAGAAGAGGCAAACAATGTATCATTTTAGTAACATTTTTTCCTGGTCTTTCACTTTCTGTATCCTCTTTTCTTGATTTCTGATCATTGAAGACATTGCTGAAAATGTTGACAAAACAAAGTTAGATTAGCAACATCTACTCCGGGTTTAAATTCTATAATGTGCTTCTTAAAAGGTCAGCTTGCTACTATGGATTAAATACATTCTGAGCTCAGGAAGTTCTTAAACATTTCAAAGTAGCATATTTTTGAAAAGACTGATGTTATAATAAGGGTAAATCTTTACTCTTTCAGTTGTTTTAAGTGAGCATAATTATTACAGCAGTAATACACACTAACTGGAAGTAAGTTGAACCCCTCAGAAGGGTACCACGAGAGACGAGGATGAGGGTCAGTATTGGGCTCTGCTCCCCCAATTTGCTGACTGAACCCCCTCAGAGGTCATCACAGAAAACTGTTTGGTGAGTATATTCGTGTACAAGCACACATGTGCACACACTTGGCTTTACACAAATGGAAATATGTGATATAAATCGTTCTTATAGAAAAAAGTCCACATTTTTCCAGTTCAACTCATGTTTTGTTATGACCGCACAGCATTCCATTATACGAATGTACCAACATGTTAGTAAATAAAATTTAAAAAAGTTGATTTCTCGTGCTCCTGACTACGGAGTGAATCAGTCATGGGGATGGCAGGTACAGCGCAGGGGACAGAGTGAATGGTATCGTAATGGCGTTGCGCGGTGGGTGACAGGTGGTGGCTACACTTGCGGTGAGCACAGCCTAGAGAAGCTGACCACTGTGTTGTGCGCCGAAACTAAGATAACATTGTCAGCCACACTTCAGTAGAGAAGTTGCTCTCTCAGTGTGGAGGACCATAAGGGAAGGGAGGGAAAACTGGATGGGAAGTCGTCAGAGAGGGAGACAAACCATGAGAGACTCTTAACTCCAGGAAACAAGCTGAGGGCTGCTGGGGAGGCGGTGGGTGGGGCTGGGTTAACTGGGTGACGGGCGTTAAGGAGGGCAAAAGATGTGATGAGCACTGGGTGTTCTCCGCAACTGATGAACTATTGACCACCACCTCTGAAACTAATGATATGTTGGCTACTTCAATTTAAATTAAAAAATTGCTTATTTTCATTTACAAACAAGGCTATTTGTAAACAGGCTTTTGTGTGTTTATACAATTTTTTTCTTGAATTAATTGCTAAAAGTGGAATTTCTGGGTCAAAGCATATGTACAATTTAAATTTTGATAAAGGCTACCAAAATTCTCTCCAAAATATCTGTTTCATGATTTCCAAGAGACATTCCATCCAGACAATGCATCAAATAAAAAGGTCTTTTTATTTTTTAAAAGATACAGTATGTCTCCCATTTGGATCATTACATTCTTATACTGAGTATATACTCAGATATATACTCAGAAATGAAGTCAAAATGTGAATAAAATGGGGCCAATAAGATAATGCATCCTTTAAAAAAACACAGTAAGCTTAAAATCAAATGCTTTTCTTGGTGTACATACACAGGGATCTGGGATTATTAGAAGGGATTTGGAGTTTTCCCTACTAACAATTTGGTATAGTCTTAGCATATTAAAAAAATGTGGGCTTTGGAATCAGCAATCGCTAACCAAGCCCCACTCTACTCCTCAGTGTGTGACTTAGAACTTACTGACTGATTGTGATATGAACTTCAGTTTCCTCCTTTTCAAAGGACCTGATAGCAGTACCCACCTAACCAGCACTGTTGGGAGACTCACGTAAAGAAAACAGAAGTCAGGCACGGAGTACAGGGCCTGGCACATAATAAGTGCTCAATAAACACTAAGCACAACTGTTACTTTTAATAAGGTTCAATTTACTTGGAAGGAATTGTCCTTAGAAAAATGTTTATTATCCTTCGTCCAGCAACTTATACTCCCTAGAGATGTAAAGATGGGCTCAGAATAACAAGTATACCCCAAAATTATTTCTCTCTGACAAAGGCTCCTGGATTCATGAATTTATACCAGGAAAACATAAAAAGTGATGGTGCTCCCAAATCCCGGAACATAGCCATAAGCTCCCACCTGCACAGGAACGTCCACTTAGAACTTGGGCCCCTGAAGCTGCCTCCCACCGGCAGAATACGAAAGTTTCTCATTCAAATAGCTTTAGCATGTTTAAAAGTAGTTTCTCCTTTTGTTTAGCGATTCACGCGGTGGCACAGTGTCTTCTCGCCTACCCTAATTTAAATCCTGGGGAAAGTAAAATGAGGTTCTTTTGCCTTCTAGCTATCAACTGCAATGTTATCCTGGCTACACACCTCACAGGGACATTGGTGTACACACCAGTGCTTGCGTACACACCTCACAGGGACAAGAAGGACAGTGTGTGGGCAAATCTCATGTGAAAACTGCCCAAAGCTTGTCCTGCTGAGGGTTGGTCAGCAGCGTTCTCACCCCTATTAGACGACAGAGGAGAGCGAGGCTTGGGTGACCTGCCTGGGGTTGCACAGTGAACGCGGGGTTAGTCGTGGCTAAGACCTTCACATTTTAGCTAGGGTTTCCGAATTGCTTATTCAGTATCCTCTTCGGCGGCTCTCTAGGTAGGAGGCTTAACCGGAAGGGAAGGTGAGGGTTCTTCCGAGCCAGGGAGCTGTGTCTGGAACGTACACAGTACCTTGGTTCTTCATCTGTAAGTCTTCTACAAGAGTCTGCAAGCTTTCCAGTCGGTTCTGAAGCTTTCTGCACGTTTTTCCTGTTGTTTCTACTGGCTGAGACTGTGAAGCTATTAGAAAATTGCTTAGATGTGATATTAAAAGTTCATTCGGTATTTTAGAAATCTTTCCAATTACAGGTTAAACAAGCTTTCCTTTGAAATAATGGAAACTTTGAGACATAAAAAAAGTGCTTAAATATTGCAATACTAGCTTATCTGACTGTTTCAAACTAATCTGATTTATTATGATTTAATTACATAGCATTAAATGGGATGAATGAGAGGAAGACTTTAAATCTAATGATACATTCTGCATTATGAATTACAGCTTTTCATACCAAACCTGAGTAGTTCCGTTTACGTAGGATTTGGAAGAGAAAGATTTAATACTGACAATGGCAATGATTTTGAATGTGCCTGAGACGAAGTGCCCATGTTAGTGGCTGTGCCCGGAATGAGGACAGTGTTATATGGCGGGAGAGACGGTGCAGACGCTGACATGGCCACAGTGACCCTGGAATGAATGTGGCGGTAGCAGGTGAAGGGGGCTAGAAGCATGTCAACTACACCCTAAGAAGTGTGCTAAGTTTTGCCAGCCTCAAAAAAGATCGATTGGCAATCTTGAAGTTTTAATTTGATCTTAGTCCCTGATTGCTGTATAATCTTGAGAATATATTTTTGGTGGATCATTTTCCTACCAACAAAATACCTCTTCCATATAGATGTTGGTATTGAAGGCAGTCATCTAAGAATTAGTTTAGTTCAAAAGGATGAAAAACAGTTACTTGGAGAGTTTTCACATAAATAATACATGATGTTTGATGAGTATCTGAAAATAGAAAAAAATGCCATGCTAGTATGTAATCATGAATTAATAATGAGGTGACCAGAAGCGCTGTTATACTCCTGCCAAGTCACTGCTCTAGTAGTGAAAGAATTTGCTGCTTTAAAGTTTTTAAAAATACTAAAGGATAACTTAGAAACATAAGAGAGGAAGGAGGAACAAAATGCAGAAAAAAGACAATGAAAAAGAAAATGTATTAAAATCTGTGATTAGGTTTTGGTGTTCCTATTTTGGGGGAATCTAGAAAGTGTGAGGCAGAGGATTTCTCAAGACTAAGAACCGACTGACCAGTGATGCAACAACTTGCCCAGTTGGTCCCGTGCTAAGCAGAGCGATGCCAGAGAGCACTGGGGTGTCTGCGTGGCCGTCATGCATGAGAAAAACATCCCAAGTTCAGTCCAACACGTACGTGCAATACCTAGCATCCACGTATTAGTCATGCACTTTAACCTAAATCAAACCATTTTTCTCATCTGTCTTAGCAAACAACAAATGAATTTGAAATTTTAAAAATGAGTACATTTTTGACAAGTTTGTATGAGAGATACTTGCGCTTACAAAGGCGGAGACGGAAGAGAGCCATGGTTTTAGAGAATGTAAGTAAGAAAAGTCACAGCATAAAAAAAAAAGACTCCAAATCTTATAGTAAAATAGGAAGGGAAATTTCATTACTCATGTCAGAGAAAGAAAGAGAAAATATCCACATAGAATATTATTTATTAAGGAGAGAGCGTGAGCGTGCGTGGACGTGTGTGTGCACACGGACAACAGCTATTTCATTTAAATGAGACCCACTTCAGTTACACGGCCTCGTAAGGACACCATGCGAAATCTTACTAATTCTGATTGCGGAAAAGAACTTTGAATTCACCAGGGTAGGAAGTCAGTCTCCTCAGTGGCTCCGCTCTTACCTTTAACAGAGTCAGACGAATGCACAGGTTTCGTGGATCTGTACTGGGGTGTGGAACCCACTGAGTCTTCAACCGAACTAGTCAGCAGTGAGTGAACCGGGGACTTCTTAGGAGATGAATGGAATGATCGAGAAGCTGAATTTTTCACAGATGGACTTGCTAAAATTTGGTAAGAACAAAAGCAAAAGGAGAGAATTTAAAATAGTATATTACACCTCTTAAAAAGTCATACTTTCATGAGAAAATGTTCCCAAGTGATTGTGGTGAGGAGAGGCCCTGATAAATACCCAAGGCTTCGGGTTCGAACAGCAAAGGAGTAAGACTTGCCCTTGGGGATCCCGAGGCCCAGCTTTAAATTATCTTAATTCTTGACTGGATTAAATTGATCTGGGAGTATGGCATTCTTGGTTGTCTAGCACGGATGTTATCTGGAAGAAGGTAACCTCATTCTAGGCCTCAGACTATCTGTATAATTTTTCAAATATGTCTATCATACAATAAAAATAGCCAGGCATAGAAGGGGGCAAAATGACATGGCAGAAAACCAAGAGAAAAAACACAGATCATAGATACAAGCAATAAATGTAGTCCCACGAGGTCTGGATAATGGAGGCCCAAGACAACCACAGATTTCAACAGCATTATTCCAAACCCCAACAGGCTCTTCTTACCTAAAGAAAACCATACCTGGACATATCAATAAAAACTGCTAAAAAAAAAAAAATCCTCAAAAAACAAACCAAAGACAAAAGCAATCCTAAAGCTGCCAAAAGGGCAAAAAGGACAGATTACATTTAAATGAGCAACAACTAAACTTAGAACAGACTCCTTAGTAGAAACAATGGAAGCCAGAAAACAATAGAATATTTTCAAAGTGAAGGAAAAATGTCCACCTGACATTCTATACTCAACAAAAATATTCTTCAAAGGTGAAAATGAAATAAAGACAAGTTCCAAAAAACAGAAACTGAGAGAAGGTATCACCAGCAGACTTCCATTAAAGGAAAAATTAAAGGCACAAGAATAAAATGATACCAGATAGAAAGTAAAGTGTGAGTATGTGGGTTTGTCTAAATGGATATTAACTGTAAAAATGGTACAAATTATCCACTGTGGTAGTCACCTGTATAATTAAAATATATATGTGACAAAAGTTGTATATAATTTGAAAAGATAGAAAACGGAACTAACATGCTCTGAAGTACTCACAGCACAATCAAAAAAGTAAAAGCACTCATTTATCTTAGTCTAACAAGGCAAGGATATATGCTGCGTTCTTTTGGGTAATTAAAACAACAGTGGAAACATGCAAGTGAAGTAGATGAAAGCATTAACTTCAAATAAAGACAATTATTCTGGGGCGCCTGGGTGGCTCAGTGGGTTAAAGCCTCTGCCTTTGGCTCAGGTCATGATCTCAGAGTCCTGGGATCGAGCCCCGCATCGGGCTCTCTGCTCAGCGGGAAGCCTGCTTCCTCCTCTCTCTCTGCCTGCCTCTCTGCCTACTTGTAATCTCTGTCTGTCAAATAAATAAATAAAATCTTAAAAAAAAAAAAGACAATTATTCTTCAAAATACTAGTTTGTAAGAGAGTTCTCATAAATTACGGTTCATTTAAAAATTAAGAATTTTCATTTATTTAAAATTATGTTTTGGGGGGTGCCTGGGTGGCTCAGTGGGTTGGGCCTCTGCCTTCAGCTCAGGTCGTGATCCCAGGGTCCTGGGATCGAGCCCCGCATCTCTCCGCGGGGAGCATGCCTCCACCTCTCTCTGCCTACATGTGATATCTGTCTGTCAAATAAATAAATAAAATCTTTAAAAAAAAATTATGTTTTGGGACGCCTGGGTGGCTCAGTGGGTTAAGCCTCTGTCTTCAGCTCAGGTCATGATCTCAGGGTCCTGGGATCGGGCCCCGCAGCAGGCTCTTTGGTCAGCGGGGAGCCTGCTTCCTCCTCTCTCTCCCTGCCTGCCTCTCTGCCTACTTGTGATCTCTGTCTGTGAAATAAATAAATAAAATCTTTAAAAAAAAAAAAGCTCTGTTTTGATTTAGATATAGATTTACAATCTTCTATAAAGAAAACAACAGCAAGAAACCCCAGAAACTTACCTTTCTCCTATCTCTTTCACTTCATACCTCAATTTTCTGTATTTACATTACTACTGCCCAGATTTATAGCTAAACTTTTGGTGAATTACTATCATTTTTCAGTTTCATTCTTTCTCATTCGTTTTATTCTCTTCTATAGGAAGACTAATTATACCTTCCAAATCTAATATACTCTCTGTAATTATTTTTCATCTTTCTTTTTGTGTAATTTTCTCTAGAGGCCCATCAAGTCTGTGTGATTTCAGTCATGCCTATCCTACTCTTACTTTTCCTAGGGTTTCCCCCTGGAATGTTTTTATTTTTCTCTTCCATTTCTCCTCTGTTATGCCATTTTGCTTTTCAACAGATTCTGTTTTCTTTCAATTTCTTCCTTCCCCTCCTTATTTTACAGACAGGATTATACTCTTAGGAAATTATGAAAAGAACCATCTGTCTCCATTCTTTCATCTGTTCAGTAAGTATTTACTGAGCACCTGCTGTATTCCTGGGATGTATCAGGAAACCAAACAGTTGCAGACATTTGCCCTCGTGCAGCTTTTGTCCGGCACGTGCTAACACAGTCATCTTTATGAACAACATAAATTAGTAAGTTACATATTAAAAAATACTAAGTGTGATTAAAAAAAAAGAAAAAGGGTGAGTGGGAGTACGGCAGAGCTACAGTTTTTACAGAGGGTGGTTAAGAGTAGTCTCACTGGGTAGTGACATCTGGGCGACGGCTTTAGTGTAGCTGAGGAATCAGCAACACGCAAGGAACAGTGGTGTAAAGGCCTTAGGAGAGAAGCTGCCTGGTCTGTTGAAGGAACGATTCCAGGGAGGATGAAGCAGACTGGGGGGGCTCCGGGTGGGGGGGGGAATGAGCCTGGAGAGTTAACGGGGACTGTGAGGCCACTGTAATGCCTGCCTTCTACTCTCCTGAAACCGGGGAGCCACTGGAGCGTGAGGCCAGCCCAACTTCCGTGCGTTCCTCGCCTACTCACCTGTGGACGGGAACGTGAAGCAGCTGGATGGGTCCTCCAAGTCTCCTGTGTGCAATGTGACAGGCTCTCTGCAAGCACAAGGACCGTCATGCAAACATTCCACTCCACAAACACAGGGCTGAGGTTCACGGACAGAAGGACGCTAACACACATGAGAGTGATAGCTTAAAAATATAAACTAAACATGGCAGTTTTGATCCTAACTTTCAGAAATCCCACAATACCCTAAGAGGGAGATCCCAAGTTGCATCATCTTTATGCATTCGGTACCCATGAAGAAGAGAAATGTAATAATGTTGGTTATAAGATTCATTTTTTGTAATATTAGCTATCAAACCCAGTACTTCTCTCAGCGATTCTAAGAAACACAATCTTAGTAACTTATTTTAAAAATTAAAAAAAAAAAGACAAAAAAAGGAACCTCTCTTGGCAATAGTAGTATCACTTCAGAGAACTATCAGACTTACTTAAATCCACAAGTTGAAACAAACCACTCTCTTCTCTGTGGTTTGGGTAACAGTGTAAGAATATGATGGCAGTAGTTCCCTTGAAGGACGTTTGTGATGTCAACACCGTTTTCACTGTAACACTACCAAGATATTGCCTGCTTTTTAATTTTCAGTCTCTCATAAGTATACAGTGGAGTTTCCCAGAGGCTCCATGATATCTGATGTCACAATAGATTAAATGCAGATGCAGATATGAGAATCCAGCTGTCTTTTTTTAAAAAAAATATTTTATTTTATTTATTTGATAGAGAGAGAGAGCACAAGCAGGCAGAGAGGCAGGCAGAGAGAGAGTGGGGAAGCAGGCTCCCTGCTGAGCAAGGAGCCCGATGTGGGGCTCGATCCCAGGACCCTGAGATTCATGACCTGAGTGGAAGGCAGAGGCTTTAACCCACTGAGCCACCCAGGTGCCCCTCCAGCTGCCTCTTATTAAGCCACACATTAAACTGTAAAACAATGCCTTCTCAACAATTTTTGTTTGAAAAAATTATTTTTTTAATCTAAAATGCCATTACGTTAACATGTAATACACATAGTTATTTCTAAATGTATATCAAAATGTTTTAATGCTTAATATGAAAACTTATTTTCCAATACCTGGATTAGCAATAGAAATGACCTGTACAAACAAAAGTTCTCAGGAATCTTCAATATTGGTGACTACAAAGGGGGCCCGAGACCAACAAGTTTGTTCCTGGCAAGGAAGGCCACGGCTATGCTGTGGAGAGCCTTAACTCTCGGGGCAGTTGCCGCTGCAGTAGGGCAGTGGGGGACTTTGAAGGTCTGGGGGCTGGGAAACGGACACAGTCTGAGGTGTGCTTTAAGCAGATCAATTTGAAGCTGATACACAGAAGTGACGAACGCGCAAGAGACGCTTAAGAGATGTTTAAGAACATCCACACTGAACACTGTCAAGGCCACCACAATGGCCTAATAAGGGAACAAGGCCAAACGCAGAGTGGCAGGCTCAGCCGTGGCGGCCATGTCTATCCGCTTCAGAACCTACGAGTGTTCCAGAGACTTGGCAGATGCGAGGAAATCAAGGGTCTTTAGATGGGAAGATTATCCTAGGGTATCCGGGAGGTTATCCCCACCATATCCTAGGATGGGAGGCCGGGGGAGGTTTCATTCGGAAGAGAGAAGACAATGTGGCAGTCCCAGCAGACGGAGGGATTTGGAGATGCTGCGCTGCGTCTGAAGATGAGGGGAGATGTCATGAGCCAGGGTGCAAGGAATGAAGCTCTAGGAGTGGGAGAAAGGGAGGAAATGGATTAACCCTAAGAGCTTCTGGGGGGGTCGGGCCCTGCCAACATCAGGACTTTGCCCAGTGGAGCTGATGGAAATGTGAGAGAGACACATTTGTGTTGTTTGAAGCCACAGATTTTGTTAGAGCAGGCACAGGGAATGAAAACAGGCAGTTCGAGAAGATGTACAAAGAAGAAAATGGATTTGATAACTGCTTCGGAGTTGAAATTAATAAGATTTGGTGACGAGAGAAACGAGACAGAAGAGAAAGAAGAACCGGAGATGATATTAGGATTTAAGCAGAGGCGCTCTGGAAAGCGGGGTGCCCTTCGCAGAAACAGCAGATGAGGTGGGGGGATGGTTTTGTGGAATGATGGCCTTTGTTTCACTGCAACCTTTCAAGTTAAATCAATATAGTCCTTATACCCAGAACGGAATAAAAAATTAAAGACACGAGCTCCTCTGTATGGGGATTTGTGCTTGAGTTACTCTGAGAGCCTCATCTCGGAGACATTTTGTGGAGAACTGACTTATTTTGTTGAGTAAAGCAAAGATGCCGCAATGACAGCGAAATGTTGTAGTGAAACAGCAACTGTTGTATTTTTTCTCCTTTTATGTGTGAAGTTTTTAAATAGCCAATTTACCACAATAGAGAGTAGTTAAATGCATCTTTAATTTTCCAGTATGTTTCATACTTTTCGGAGCTTCTATGAAATATCTGAAAACCTCTTTTTCCCAGGGTGCCTGGCAGCTCAGTTGGTTAAGCGTTCGACTCTTGGTTTGGGCTCAGGTCGTGAACTGGGGGTCATGAGATCAACGCCCCCATCAGGGGGGAGTCTGCCTTCAGGTTCTCTCTCTCCCTCCCCCTGCCAGCCCCCGCTTGCTTGTGTGCTCTGTCTCTCAAATAAATAAAATCTTAAAAAGGAAAGAAAGGAAGGAAGGAAAGGAGGGAGGGAGAGAGGGAGGGAGGGAGGAAGGAAGGAAAGAAAAGAAAAGAAAAGAAAGAAAGAAAGAAAGAAAGAGAGAGAGAAAGAAAGAAAGGAAGGAAGGAAGAAAACCTCTTCTTCCCATTTGTACGTAGGAATGGGCCAGGTCCAGCTTTTCCTCCCTAATCTCTCTCTCTACAAACACATCATTGCTGAAGGAAATAGGTTTTCTGGTCATAGAAAAACTACAGCAGAGCTTACCTATCTTAGGGGAGTTGCCCTTCTGTGCCCCATGCCTAGGATTGCGCTCTTCCCCAGGGAGCTCAGTCCAGGTACACAGACGTGGTCACACACCTGAGCTCAGGAACCAGAAAGACCAGAGTTCCAATCTGACTCCCCTGTTCACAAAGCTACATGACTCTGGCAAGCTGGGTAAGCAATCTGAGTCTTCATTTCTAATCCATATATGGATATAATAATGCCTAAGCCAAAAACTAAGTCAGAGAGACTAAATGAAATAAGCCCAAAAGATCCAGAAAATGTAAAAAATAAAAATATACCATAGATAGCTGTAGATATTACTAATAGGTTCTAAACCTCGGTGAGAAGAAAATCAAAACTCATTAAAGAGAAGGATCTAGTTTAGAAAGATTCAAGTTCATTGTATATATTGACAAAGCAGTAGAGATAGTAAGAAAATACTTATAATACTGTCATATATATATATATATAGTACTGCCTTCATTCATTCACTGAACAAATGTTTATCAAACAACTACTCTGTGTCAGGCAATATGGCTGATGCTGGAGATACAGCAATGAATTAGGCTCCACCCAGCTGGATTTAAACAGAATTCATTTTCACAGTCTTAGGACATGAGAAAGGCTCTGATTTTTTTTTTGTTTGTTTGTTTCAGGTGGTGAAATAGAAAAGATAAAAGTAAGTTTTTTTCCCAGGCAACCAATAAACAGATGTTAAAACTGTAAGCCCATGTCTGTCTTGCCCACTGTTACGTTCTATGGACCTAGCCTGGAGGGTGGCACCTCGTGGGGGGCCAACCAGCTATCGAATTAATAAGTAAGTAGTAGAAATGGGGACTCTCGTACAGTCAGGGACTGGTAAGATCATTTCTCACCTGCTAAGGGTATCACTGGATTTGCTGCCTTCAGTGGAGTCCCTTAATGAGTTGTTGCTTCTGTCGGCAGAAGGGTGGGAGAAACGAAGAGTACATGGTGTTATTTTTACTTAGTGATGAAACTATGTTGTTCCTCTGAACCCTGCTTTTACACCAACGCAGATTCAAAGAGTGAGACTGGGGTGTTGGCTCTTCCAGGCGGTAAAACAATGTAAAGAAGAGCTTGAAGACAAAAGGAATGGACTCCTTTTGGGAGCCAGGAGCAGTCTGTTTTGGTTAGAGTGCACTGTGGGAGTCAAGCGGGCTGGCAACAAGTTGGGGAGGGCCTGGAGGGGCAGACTGAGAGACGGGGCCTAATGCAGCAGAGGGCGAGGAGTTGATGAAGACCTGCGAGCCACGTTCTTCTTGTCTTACATGGATAACAGATCAATATTAGCTTTTTTTCCTCCTTGGCTAAAAAAAAGAGGTTGTCTCTGTTGAGGGGTTATGGATTTCATTTCTTTATGCTCTTTTTAGGATCTCATTTTAAAATTTAGATCCTCAATTACTGAGGAAAATAGGATTGGTCTCTGTGGGTTCTTAAAATCCTGTATTGGAGGTTGTTAGACCTTCCTTACAGACTACCTTCCTCTCAAAAGTTAGGTAAACCATTGTAAATGAGTGTAAAATGTAGAAAAAAAAATTTTCCATTTTTGGTATGGTATACCATGTAAATATCTTCCTATGCGTAAACAGCAGCAAAATTTAAAATAAGCCAAAAAAATTCCTGTTGATTTCTAGAAAATACATTACACTGTATGTATGTATACTGAAATCTGATTTAGTTTTAGTTAATGTAACAGCTTGCTTTCAATGCCCAAATGCCCATCGATTCCCATGTAAACTGTCCAGACTTCCTAAATTACCTGGAAACATAAAAAAATTATTGGACAATTAATTAGATCAGAATCTCAGATTCTTCTTACCTATGGCATATCTCTAATCTCAGGCTTGATTCAGTTATGCAACCTCTTTCTCTAACATCTCTGTATAAATATAATTCTCAGTTAATTATACAAAGAAAAATTTCCAGATTCCATGTATTTTTAGAACAATCAATTGCTCTTGAAAGCACAACAGCAGATTTTAGGCCTCCAAGCCAATTTTGCAGAAGGCTGCCCCTGGAATTCATCAGCTCAGAAATGCTTTCACAGACTCTTAAAAGGTTTAAGCTGAGTTTAGGCTTTGGTGACAAGGTCATTTGTAGAATTATAGCAAATTAACATGCATTGTTTAAAGGCAGGGACCAAATATATTCATGAATATATTCACGTTCAATACAATTCAATATAATTTAGGTCCACAATTAGTGGCTAAAGTGATGGAAATCACCTGATCAAGAAATCACGGTCATCTTTGTGGAATGATTAGTGCTGGGAGCCTGGGCTCCAACTTTTACTTTTGGTTTTGCCTCTTTGCTTCTTAGAAGACAATACAATCTATGCCCAAATTAACTCCTCTGTCAAATGAGCTTAATAATAAATACTGCCCTGCCTTAGAAGGCATGTATGTTGCTTTGCACATACATGTATTCCTCAGTGGAGTGGCCAATGGAATGTTTCTGACACGTGATTCACAGAATGCAACGTTATGCTAGGTAACTGGGTTGTACTTACTATTTTACTATTACTAATAGTATTAATAAATATCAAATAAATCCAGCTAATATTTAACTACTTCAAGTTAACATATACTAATTAAACATCTTAAGAAACTGGAGATTGTTTATATGTATTATTTTAGAAAGTATTATTTTTAGATATTTGTCATATAACCAGAAAATGAATATTACAAAAGGTTGTTGTAATACTAATGGCTAGTATACAATTAATATTATACCAAAAATATAGTGTGTACTGTATTAAAATGCTTTCAATTAATCTAATAATAATACACAGTAAAATTTTGAAATAGTATTTGAAAAGAACATGAGAATCTCATTGATTTCTGCAGGTAATACAGGGACGGGCTGGAGAACTGACGGAAATCTTTCTCAGGTGTGATCTTCTATTCATTTGGTATATGTCACTGGCATGAATCTCTAGAGAACCACGGACTTTCCTATTAGATTATATCTGGAGAGTCATGTAGTCCTTACGGGTTTAGTTTAGCTCCACCATCGAACTGGGCGGCTGCAGGCAACTCAACCTTTTGAAACTTGTGTTTTTCTCCTTTTTAAGACAGGAATAACAACTCCTGCCCTGTCTGGTTTCAAACAGTCATTATGGTAATCAAATAAGATTATGCGTGTGAAATCTGTCGGGAACTATAAATTACTACTCGAACGTAGCTTTGGGTAACGTCTTGCTTTGATGACTTCCTTCTGAACACAATAACAACTCTATTATTTGCTCTTGATATCACGTTGTTTGACTTTTGTTTCACTCCTTCCACTTTCACGTTGTTTTCCCTGGTGAGGTCAGATACTCTTCGAAGTTAAACCTGCACCTCCCACAGAGAACCAGGGGAGAGAAGCTCTCCCATCCTGCATCTGCCCCAGCCTTACACAGCCACGTAGGAGACGCCCAGGGACGGTGTTCTCCCTTCCTCCTCGGGCTTGCCCAGCGGCACAGCTGGCTCCTCGTTGATCACACTTCTCAACTCTTGGAGAAGCTGTTTCAGGTCCCTTGTTGGATCTTCCTTCAATGTGGCGGGTTTCACAGAGTGCTGTATTAAAGCAATTTACAAAACAAACACCTTAGGTTTTTTTTTTTTTTTTTTTAGATTCGGATGCTGTTTCCTAATGTAAAACTAATTCAGCTGGTAAGTAAAAATTATGGAGGAGAAAGAAGAAAAAACAAAAATCACCTGTGATCTTACTACTCAGGGATAATCAAGAATAACTCATTAATAATCAATACAGTGTTACATTTAATTTATAAATGTGTGTATACTTCTTTATATATCCATAATAATAAATTAGAGGATACACACATAGGCTCAAACTATACACAGCAATTTTTAAGTCATTTTTAAAGAAATGTTAACAATGTAGTATGGATAGTGCCCTGTATCATTAAATATTTACAACTATGTCCAGGCAAAATAATTCCAATACTTTTTAAGAGCTGAATTTTATAAAGTTACAGAACTTTAGAAGTAAGGAACTCCTTAAAGATGAATTAATTAACCCTCCCCCCCATTATACTTATGAGGAAAGAGACACTCAATATTTTCAAACTGGGTTAGTTGGTATTTGAGAATAATTTTAAATGATTTTCAGATATGTAAGTACTCCCTAATGAATATTTATAATATAATAAAAATTATAGATGTTCCCAATAGGCACCTCAAAAGGGGAAACCAACTGATAGTTAGCCGTTGCTCTGGAGAGCAGGTGGTCTTAGTTGGAGGACACTCATGGCTAGAAAGTCATCAATCACCATCAAGCTATTTCAGCTGGAGGTTTAACTTTTTTAAGTTAACATTAGTTTAACTCCAATGTGGAGTTAAACCTGCCGTATATGTTGAATGAACATTGGTTTTGCTTTTCTAGGATCTATGCCAAATAAGTGTTGATGTTATTGTATGACCCTCACATTCCCCTTCCTTTCCTAACCCTGCAGACATGCAATAGGTAACATGCAGCTGAACATGTCAAGAGTTCTGACTGAGAAAGAGATCACAAGTAGGCAGAGAGGCAGAGAGAGAGGGAGAAGCAGCCTCCCCATTGAGCAGAGAGCTCGATACGGAGCTCCATCCCAGGACCCTGGGGTCATGACCTGAGCCGAAGGCAGAGGCTTTAACCCACTGAGGCACCGAGGCACCCCCAATAGCTTGCCTTTTTTTCTGGAACCCTTATTTAAGAAATCTCTAGGGAAACCCAAAGACCTTCAAAGGGGAGAGAAAACAAGGACATCAGAGCACATTTTAGCCTTCGACACCTATAGCTACAGCAAGCAGGGCACAGAATCTAACTCCTAGCCAGATAAACACAACGCCCTCACCCTGAAGTTCTTTTTATCTCAGTTCTTTTTACCCAGTACATCATGTTCAGCTTTCAACAAAAAATTAAACTCCTACTAAAAAGATAAAAAAACGCAGCTGAAGAGACAGAGCCAGCATCAGAACCAGACTCAGATGTGGTAGAGATTCTGGAACTATTAGACTGGGAGTTTCATTATGATTAATTTTTTCTGTTGGTTCTGAGGGAAAGAGTGGATGACACGCAAAAACAGATCATGTACGCAGAAAAACTGAAATTCTAGGGCAGAATCAAAAGGAAATTCTAGAAAAAAATCGAAAAGAAATGAAGAAGGACTTTGATAGGCTTATCAGTAGGATGGACATGACCATGAAAGTAATCAGGAAGCTTGAAGAAATTTTTTTTTTTTAAGATTTGTTCATTTTAGAGAGAGTAAGAGAGAGAGCGAGAGAAAGTGAGAGTGTGTGCAAGAGAGCACGTGAGCTGGGAGGGGCAGAGGGGCAGGAAGATGGAGGAAGAATCTGAACCAGACTCTTCGCCAAGTGTAGAGCCTGACACGGGCCCGATCCCATCATCACGAGGTTGTGACCAGAGCTGAGACCAAGAGTCGGCGCTCAACTGACTGAGCCACCCAGCTGCCCCTGCCTGAAGAAGTGTGAACGGAAATTTCTAAAACTGAAACGCAAAGAGAACAAAAATTAAGAAGATGGACCAGAAAGTTGAAGAACTGTGGGGACACTCTAAGAGCTGTAACATACACATGCTGGGGGTACCACAAGGAAGAGAGAGAAAGAGAACAAAGATAGACGTAATAATGGCTGAGAATTTTCCAAGATTAATGACAGAACAGATCCGGGAACCTCATGATGCATCAAACGATGCAGACACTAAAAAAAACCTCCCCATAGGCATATCATACTCAAACTGCAGAAAATCAAAGACAAAGGTCTTTAAAGAAGCCAGAGGGAGAAAACAGAGTATTACATCAGACTTCTCTTCAGAAACCACATGAGCAAGAAGGACTTGAATGAAGTATTTAAGATATTGAGATAAAACCTCCCCACCAATCTAGAACTATACCCTGAAAAATTATCTTTCAGAAGTGAAGGAGAAATAAGATTCTCAAACAAATAAAAATTGAGGGAATTTGTTGTCAGCAGATCTACCTTGTAAGAAGTGTTAAAAGAAGTTCCTCAGAGAGGAAGAAAATGATAGAGGTCAGAAACTCAGATTTACATAAAGAGAGGAAGATCCTCAGAGAAAGAATAAAAGAAGGTAAAATAAAGAACTTTCTTTTAATTGCTCTAACAACAGTTTGTTCAAATAATAATAGGAATAATGCATCCAATTATGTACACATAATATTATAATAATATAAAAATTATGTACACATATAATAATATAAAAATATATGTGTATATACGCACGCTTAGGGATAAGTGAAATGAATGACCACCTTGATACAAGGGACATGAAGGAGGAAATAAAACTATTTTGTTATTATAAGGTCCCTGTACAACCCATGACCTGTAGTGTCATTTCAAAGTGGATTGGGATTAGTTGTTAATATATACTGCAAACTCTAGGACAACCACTAAAAAGGAAAAAAGGAAATATAATTTATATGCTAAGAAGGGAGAGAAAATAACATTTTTTTAAAGGTTTTATTTATTTATTTCACAGAGACAGACACAGGGAGAAAGGGGACACAAACAGGGGGAGTGGGAGAGGGAGAAGCAGGCCTCCTGCTGAGTGGGGAGCCCGATGCAAGGCTTGATCCCAGGACCCTGGGATCATGACCTGAGCTGAAGGCAGATGCTTAACAACTGAGCTAACCAGGCGCCCCCTAACATTCTATTTTTACATGCTCAATTAAAACCACAAAAGGCAGAAAAAGAGTAAAAGATAAAAATAGGAATAAAAACAAAAACAATGACAAGAAAATAGTAACAAACATGATAATATTAAACCTAGTTATATGAGTAAGGAATTTAAATATCAATGCTCCAAATATACCGATTAAAAGACAGGGATTGTCAGGATGCAACAAAAAACAGGACTGACTATACGTTGTCAGAAACCTACTTTACAAATAAAGACACATATAGATTAAAAGTAAGGAGATGGAGAAAGAAATATCATGCTAATACGAATAAAAAGAAAGCTGGAGTAGCTACATTAATTGCAGACAGAGCAAGCTTCTGAGCAAGGAAAAGAGAGCCATTACATAGTGATAAAGGGATCAATTCTCCAAGAAGATACAACAATCCTTAATGTGTATGCACTTAGCAGAAGGGCATCAAACTATGCAAGGCGAAAACTGATGAAACTGCAAGGAGAAAAAGATGAATCCACTATTACAGCCAAACGCACTTCCTAACTCTCTGTCAACAATGGACAAACTCAGCAGGCAGAAAATCAGCAAAGACAGAGCCCAACTGAACAGCACTTTCAGACGACTGGAATAACTGACATCCATAGACTACTTCATCCAAAAAATAGCAGAGCACGTACTCTGACGTTTATATGGAACACTCCTCAAGACAGACCACATTTTGGGCTACAAGTACACACGAACAATTTTTAAAGAATAAAAATCATACAATGTCTATGCTAGGATTACACATAGAATTGAACCTGAAACCAGTAATAAAAAGATAGCTGGGGGCGCCTGGGTGGCTCAGCTGTTAAATGTCTGCCTTCAGCTCAGGTCATGATCCTGGAGTCCCGGGACTGAGTCCCACCTGGGGCTCCCAGCTCAGCAGGGAGTCTGCTTCACCCTCTGACCCTCACCCCCACTTGTGCTCTCTCTCTCTCAAAAAAAAAAAGATAGTTGGAAAATTCCTAAATCATCGGAGATAAACCAGTACACTCCTGAATAATGCACAAACCAAAAAAGAAATCTCAAGAGAAATTTAAAAATGTTTTGACAGGATAAAAATGAAAATACCACTTACCAAAATTTGTGGCATGTAGCAAAAGTAGTGCTTAAAGGAAATTTATAACACTGAATGCACATATTAGGGAAAAAGATGTAAAGCTAATAATCCAAACGTCTTGCAAATTCTCTTCTTGCAAAGTAAGCAAATAAAATAACAAAATATATATATATATATACACAAATTACTAATATCAAAAATGAAAGAGGGGGCATCCCTGCAAATCCCAAAGACATTAAAAAGATAAAGACTGGTATTTCTTCATAGGCGCTTATCTAGGATCATGTGTTGCATGGAGTGGTCACATCTCTAGTCTTTCTTCACTCTGGAGGAGTGTAGCACGGGTGGGGTGGCCTTTCACTGATTAATGTATCCTCACTCCTCTGTGCCGGGAGTGTTAGAAAAGGAAGAGATGGACCACGGCCAAAGCCCATCCTGCCAGACACATAAAATGAGTAATTGTTTGAGTGTGTAGAGAGAAGCTTGGAAGTGATGTCATGCTTTTTTTTTTTGAAGATTTTATTTATTTGGCAGATAGCACGTGTGAGAGAGCACAAACAGGGGGAGTGGGAGTGGGAAAAGCAGGCTCCCCCCTGAGCAAGGAACCCAGTGCAGGGTTCAATCCCAGGACCTTGGGATCATGACCTAAGCTGAAGACAGACGTGTAACCACTGAGCGGTCCAGGTGCACCTGATGTCATGGTTTTATCTTGTTTTATTTTTAACATGAAAGTTTTAAAGCGACTGTAAAAATCAAAATATGTTAAACCACTCACTCTTTGCTTAATTCTTCCTAGACAGAAT